CCTACTCTGCTTCAAGCTTATTTTATCCTTGTAGGATGACCATGTAGTGCTGCAGTGCACTGCATCTATTCTTAAGGAACAGATCAAGCTGTGCCTGTCATGTGAAGGTTTTGGAAATCGTCTGTGCTTTCTCGAGACCACATCGAATGCTCAGGTATTTAAAGGACACAATGCAATGATATAACTTCTTTGAGAGCTTGCATTGCTGCTGTTCACCAAGCTGACTGGTTGTTGTGTCTTTCAGAATGTCCCTCCAGACCTCGCCATCTGCTGCTTCATTTTGGAGCAATCCCTGTCTGTGCGAGCATTACAGGAGATGTTGTCCAACTCCTCTGTGGATGAGGTAAGATTTAGAGGTTACAAGGTTACACGTGATATAATACATACAAGTTCTTTGATTTAATCTTTTGCTGCAGTCAACTTATATTCACGTTGTTTCTTTTCTGACTTTATACATCTCCCACTTGCCAACCATAGGCAGTCGATTTGGACAAATGGGTAGGTTTGCCCAGGTTTCCTTTTGTCCAGTACTTAAATCTGAGTTTTCAGTGTGTCATAATTTATTGAAGTTGTTTTTGATAACCTGCTCACAATATTACAATCAACTTATCTCATTAATACATTAACCACTGAATCTTCTTCTACCTTCTCCACTCAGTCGTCACAAGGTGGGGGTCATCGAACCCTCCTGTATGGTCATGCCATCCTGCTGAAACACACCCACTCCAGCATGGTGAGTACATTTGCAGTTACTGTGGTTGCTTTTCCATCATATCGTCTTCTTAAAGCTGATTGGAAGTGTTATCTCTGTCTTTCCACTTCAGTACTTGAGCTGTTTGACTACGTCGCGCTCACTGACAGACAAACTGGCTTTTGATGTGGGCTTGCAGGAAGACTCCACAGGTGACTACGAACATTTTTGCTCAACATGTCCATCAGACTCCGATGTAGGTTTTTTTTTTTTTTTGAAATCTGTATATCCATTACAGGAGAGGCCTGCTGGTGGACCATCCATCCAGCCTCTAAGCAAAGGTCTGAAGGAGAGAAGGTCAGAGTGGGAGATGACCTCATTCTTGTCAGTGTTTCTTCAGAGCGATACCTGGTAACCACGACTGCGTTTACTTGCATCAAAAGTCAGAGCTTACAGTCTGTATTACTAATATTACCATCTGCACTCTTTGCAGCACCTGTCCTATGCCAGTGGTGATTTAATGGTAGATGCTTCCTTCATGCAAACTCTGTGGACCATGACCCCTGTAATGTCTGGATGTGAACTAGCTGAAGGTATGTAATTTTCTTTCTGCTAAAAATAAAACAAAACAATAAACCTAACCCTAACCTAGCTCTTTGTCTCTAGGTTTTCTGACTGGAGGATATGTGCTCCGGCTGTTCCATGGTCACATGGACGAGTGTTTGGCAATCCCAGCAGCTGACCAAGGGGACGACCGGCACAGGTGACCAGTGTCTTTCATGGCAGTACATGCAATCCGATATTAACTACATAAATACCAAATACTCATAGGTTTTAATTGTTTTAGCTTTACATGTCTGTATTTCTGTCACAGACTTTAGGGCTTGCTGTTTTTTAGTAGCGTGTGGCGTTATAAGACTATATTATATATTGAAAGCCCCAACGTGGGTCTTTCTTATGGCTAATGTTAGCTAACATTGTCTCTCCTGCTAAGACTGATGAACTGCTAGCTTCACAGGATAGCAGCTAGCTAGCTAACATTGTTGGTAGAAAAATATTATTTGTATTGAGCTTTTGGCCATAT